GGTGGGTGGGGGCCTTTGGGGTCCCCCTGCTACCCTGGGGGGGGGGGGGGGGGATGTTGATTGGCTAACAACTAGCATCTTGTTTGACCGGGAAAAGACATAGAAGAGCTCTTAGTTACTACTGACAAGTTCAGTATTGTGATGAGTTTGTTCTTAGTTATGTGAATGGGGAGAGGGGGTGACTGAGGCCAGCAGCTCCAGCTAACAAGGGCAATAAATATGTTTGGGGGGATTTGATGTGGAGCTTATGCATGCTTAAAAAAAAACAAAAAAAAACAATGCTTTCTTTTTTAACATCAAAGGATAGTTCAGTAGTTTATAATGTCATGTCTAGTTTTATTTAAAACAACATTAGTTCGTCTCACTGCATCAAGAGAATTACTAGTCAAAAAAAAAAGGATCAAAACCAAAGCAAACTTCTGTCTTGAAATGACTCCAATCAAAGCCTCTTAGTTTTATGGAATTCTTTAGAGAGAGCGTGGCGATTATTTAAACTAGAGATGAGCTTTGGAGGCGGTGCATCACCGATGGTCTCCCCGTATAAAACCACAAAGCATCCGAAGCGTTTCCAATCAGACTTTGCTTTTATGTGAAAAGGCACCTGGAAGGCACGAGCAATCTAAGCTCCTGCTAATAACCCAGCATCTGCAAGGACCGGTTTTGTTTTCAAGCTCAACAGAAAATATTAGGGAATTTAAGACTCCTTGAAATTGTAATATATTCAGGATTTATAAAAACCGAGGTAGATATTTTAGAGCAGTTTAATCCTATTTGCTGTTTTCTGCACCTGCATAAACAATTCAGTAATTGAATGACACTTGGTTCACATTTCCTGAGTTGGCACTTCTTTTACTGTGGACTTGACTGTCAGAACAAGTGAGAAAGTCAAATAACGACATCTCCGAAATGTATTTACTGCTCATTATGTCATAGATTATATGAACTGTAAAATTAAATTCTGCTGAGGGCCCCGTAGATTCTTGATTCGTCTCCATTTTGTAGCAGACAGTATTTACTTTGTGAATGTTTGACACGTGTTCCATTCTCTGTCTCTTTCACATAAGAATACCACTGGCGGCACAATGACTCCTACCTTCCAATCAGTTTGGTTCAGACATGACAGGAGTTTAAAGGTTCATGAAGTAGCATTTGCATAAACTGCAATTCGAGAAAAGAGTTATTATTTAATAGAATAAAAGTCGACTGTTGTCTTGATCCCTATCTGAATTATAATTAGATTGAGAATCCTGATTCAGCTTTCGCTCCAAATAAAGATGCCAAAATAAACATGGATATCATCTCCTTATAATTTTCTTTTTTATGTGAAAAGTGTTTTCTGACTATGTGCTATGCAATTCATTGCACCCAAAATACTGAAAGATATATTTGGAAATAAATGAAGCAGATCATTTCTCGAGACTCAATAATAATAATAATAATAATAATACTAAAAAAGCTACTCCGTCGTTAGCATTTTAGAAACATGCCACAGCTGCATCAAAGTTATTTCCTCCAAAACTAAACCTCTTTTCTCTTATTTCCTTTGTTGGGTGAGGTGCTTTAAACATTTCGCAATGATTTGAGGAACAGACAGAAATCTCTTCTTTTTAATATTGGTTTCACTTCCCTCAACAGTCAAGTAGACAGAAAGGTCAGAAGTCTCTCCTGCTACGCTAGGAAGGTTTGCTTTCAAACCGTTTTCCTGCTCTGATTGATTCACTTTGGTCGGTCATGGAAAAAAATGTCTCTCTCGTCCGAGATGCAGTAAGTGAAATTTGGGCGACAGACAGACCAAACATCGGACATAACTAACTTTATGTAAAGTGTCCCTCTGCGTTGCCTACCAAAATACCTCGCCAGCCCATTAACTAATAAAGCAAGTTAGAACACTGAGGTTCTCTGTGAGAACAAGACAAGTAAGCGAATTAGCGGTTTACGGTGAGATTTTCTGCAAGCAGCAACAACGACCTAAAAATAGCTTTACTGCGCTTATTTTATGAGAAACTTAAAGATTAACTATCTATTTTTAAAACTGTGAATGAATGAGAAAAGGCTTGCTTAAGACGGCATTAAGAGAAGTTATTTAAAACCGTCCACTGGGGAAACAAGAGTCAATTGTGCTGCCACAACCCCTGAAGCAGGCAGTAGAAGACTTTGGGAAGCAACCACCGATTGGTCAGCCCGACAGAAAAAGGGGCGGAGTAGATGAATTAGTGGACGTCCGTTTAAAGGCAGACGTCCTGCAGTGATCAAACCCTGAATGATCTAACAGTCTGCCGTTTGAAGTGATTATCATGCTACGCAACATAAAGGCTTACATCCAGCTGTGGGGCTAATTAGTTCACTTAGCACCCTTTATAAAACACTGCTAGGGGACAGGAAGGGACAGCCGGTCACTGGGAAGTCAGTAGTTTGACAGGACAGCAGTGGCAACAGACCTGGATCCCTAAAGCTGACCTACTGGATCACCTGCTTTTCCAAGAATGCCACATTTAAGTGACTGCAGCTACTACAAAATGCGGGACGCAACCAGAGCTTCAAAAGTAAGAATATAAAAGTTTTTTTTTTTTTTTTTTTTAATTTTAACTGGAAAAAGTTTTGGGAAATTTTTAAATAGTTTCTAAAACCCGGTTTACAATCACCTAAGTGACTTAAATACGATAACTGTATAGTTTTGAAACTGTGACTCAGGCTGTGGAGGAACAATTAAACAGATCACAAAAAGATTTGAGTGAGATATTACTTCACCTAAACATGACATGTTAAAATGCAACCATAATCCTGTAAAGTTGCTGTGAGTAATGCTGGAAAAGTCCCGAATGAGTAAGCTCTGCAGCCGTTTCAAAAAACTCACAGTAAACATGTTTTTGCCAAACATTTTTTTTAAAAAGGTGCAATTGCTTGCATCTTGATCCAGCTTTCCATACAGGCAACAAACTCAACTAGTGCATGTTATTTTTGTTTGTGCGTATGTGTTTCAACAGGTACAAAGTCACCTGGAAAACTCCAAGTTCCACCTTCATCAAAGCCAAAACCAGCCTGTGAAGCAATACCTGACACTGGGCTCCAAGCTGGCCTCTTCCACCGGATCTGGCCACGCTGTACCGCATCCACACGCCCCCGGCCAGCCGCTGGCCACCGTGCCAATCATGAGGAACGGACACATGCCCGCCGTCAGTGATGGGAGCAGCCCCAACAGTCCCGTCACCCTGCTGACGATGGGCAACCACGAAGGCGAGGTGAGACGGAAACAGAAACAGAAAAACAATGTACATGGAATACGTGGAACCGAAATCGTGCCTAAAAGGGAAACCAGAACAAAAAAGAGAATGTCGGTTTGCATGCTGATCAGCAGCAAGGTCATACATTTCAGAGATTTCACAATGTCCCTGAGACGTTTCCTGTCAACGGCCCACTTTCCCGACAAAATACGTGGCTGCTGTGTTGATGTGAAACATATTGCGTAGCTGTAAATCCTATCAAATCATGAAAGCTTGCTCTTTGTTTGGATGAATAGCCAACAAACAGAGCTGGTTTTGAACTCTGGTGCTGAGGGGAACTAATCATCCAAACAAAGTTTCGCCACCGCTGATATCCCTTTTCCCCCTGATGAGCTCATCAATAACTTCAGATAAGCAGTCTCTGATGAGAGAACCCTTTTGTCAAGGGAGGGGGGGAAGCTAGTTTGCTAACAGATAACGTGCTTTTCCCGCCAACGCCGCTAAACAAACTGTTATTAAATTAGCCTCCCTGTTTTTATACCGAGTCATGGTTTGAATAAGCAGATCTCTAAAGACATGGACGGTGCACTAACATCCCCAAACTGTCCCTTAATACACTGAAATGACTGTTTTCTTTTAGTTTCCGATGGATGAAGTTATTGATGACCTAATTAGTCTTGAATCCGGTTTCAATGATGGAGGCCTGGATTGCATGGAGCCTAACATAATCCAAAGCAATGTAAGTATGAATCACTTCAAGTCCTGCTCTAATGACCAGGGACTAACCATGATTTGAATGCTTCAGACTTGCTTACGATTTGCATGCGTTTCTGTTGTAATCTAACAAAAGCTGTGGTTAGGTTTAGGTCACATTATTTGACTAATGATTTCTCTCTTTTTAAAGGCTTAAGCATAGCTTGAAAGCAAAGTTAGTCCACCCAAACACGGAATCACGCAAGCTAGACTAGCTTGGGAAAAAGGGGACCCGACCTGCTTTCAGGTCAGATTAAGACAAGAGACGAGTCAAAGTTCACAAAGGCTTAGGGACATTTAACATTTTACCAAATAAGCTGAGCAAAGCAGATTAGGTTTTTGTAAAACAGAAAGTATTTCTTTTGGAGGACATGTAATGGGACACAACACCAAATAAGCACAAATAGATTAAAAAAAATAAATAAAAAAATCAAAAAATGATGATGGGAGTCACACATTCTGATAGATTAAAAAGATGCATACAGAGAAAGATAAAGTACTGAAACAAAAGGAATGGGGGGAAGATAGAGATAAGGGAACAGAGGAGGGGAAGGAGGGAAAAAAAAGGAAGAGTCGGTTTGTTTGAGCGAGGGAATTTGTCGGAAGGAGTTACTGAGCCATCGGATCGGGCTAATGCATACACTCCCTGTGGGCTTGTTCAGAAATGATACCATGCTTAAATGGATCAATTCATCCTAATTAGTCATACAGCATGATGCATCACTTCGCTTCGCCTTGTCAACACATTCTGGGACACGGACGGGAGAGGGATCGGAGTGATTACAGTACAAGCGGGAGGGGGAACTGTTGTAATCTTTTCATTTTCTTATGCGTGTTTATCCCCTTCCTCCCCCTCCTCCTACTTCTTCTTCTTCTGACTGTCCAATATTTTTTTTAGGAATCTACAGTGCAATAACAGTATTCACTAACCTCACTTTTCTTCACTACCTGAATTTTAAAACAGCAGAGCATAACACTGAAGTAAAACGAAAATGAGACATGGTTTGCAAAACTAAATCTTCTATTTAGTTCAGTCTTGTGCTTTCAGGCTGATTTGTAGGGTGAGTTTTCTGCCACACAAGGTGGCACAGCATAACCTAACCCTCCTTCTAAAGTTCTTCCCAACATTGCCCGGACCTCGTCATGCTGTGTGTTCACAATTTTCTCAGCTGTATTTGAGCTGAGATTAAATAAAACGCAGGTGGACGACATCTGCTAATTGTTCGACATACTTCATGTAGGAATTTTAGAGGTCTGAACACAAACCAACATCACGTTTGTTGACATTTTAATTAGTAAAAATGTTACTCATGCATCTATGCACCACTTTGAGTTGGATTTTTTGGATACAATCCCATTAAAATGTACTGAAATTTGTGGGTGTAAAGTGACAAAATGAGAAAAATAAAATAAAATAAAAAAAAGCAGAAGGGGTTTTTAATATTTTTGACAGGGCAATACTTACAAACCCTTAAGACAAATCTGATGGTGCCTGTTCCTTTTACAGTCCCCGTCCTGTCTCACCACGTTTGGCTCACTGATAGTTACGTTTGACGCACGTGTCGTTGCTAAAATTGGCTGTGCCGTTTCTTGGAATCCATGGTGACCCTATGCGAGATTTTCCTGCCATAAATACACAAATGCGAATTGGTCACACGCGTGTTCCAGTGCGCCGTATATCGTGTCGTGTCTGGACTCAGTGAAAAGGCGTTATTATCCGGGAGGATGAGAGGCCCCCATAGGAAAACAGTTTTGCCTCTGTTCATGCCGTTGACCTAGAGAGCCCTTTCATCTGATGGCGTGCTGTTTGTGAACACAGAGCGTCTCAGTGTTTAGGGTCCGTTTTCAATGAATGGAGGTTGACAAATTGTGCTTTTAGAGAGCCGCAGTACTCCCTAGTGTATAGAAAAGTATGGGATTTAGTTTCACTGTTTTCTACGTCTGGATAAGAATAATTGTATTTTCACTTAGTCTTTGTCCCACCGTCTAAAAGTTTCCTCCTTCGTTTCAAACCACTTTCTGACCTTTCTATCCTACCTCCTTTCCTTCATTTTACATTCAGTTCCTGCTTGTCCTTCCTGCTGCCTGGATCTTCTGCATCTTCTGTCCTCCATTTTTTTCCACAAATCCTAGTACCATTCCATTATTTTATTTATTTTGTACCTCCTTCACTACCTTCTTTGAGCTGTACCTCTCTTCATTCCTCCTTCCTTCCCTTGTTCCTTCCTTCCTAGTTTTTTAGGTTTCATATTCAAAGCCTGATTTACTAAATATCTTGCCATAAATGATCAGTGACACAGTATTTCAAAATAAATGTCAAAGGTTGAGGAACATAGGGCTGTTTTACAGTAAAATGGGTTGGAATACTGGGAAAAAAAAGAGACAAAATGTGGAAATTTGGGATGCTTTAAGCTGGGGTTGAAGGTGAACAGCAAGGATTATATGAACAGGTTCCGTTTCAGCGACTTTCATCTTTGTCATGCAAGACAAACAGTTAATTTGAACATTGTAACAACTGTGGTCTGGGGGTGGTGGGAAGGCAAAGCACACAGTTTGTCCTGCCCTGCTGTGGCAAACAAGGGACCACAACCCCCTGCTGCTTAGTCCTGGTCCAAAGCTCTGGGAGGGGCGACAACCTTCTCTGATCATTCCACTCGCCTCTTGTTGCTCCTGCCGACGCAAGACAAAGCCATTCAAGCAGCAAAAAACAACTATTTGTCTTGCAGCTTTTGATGAGGCACGAAAGCCGTGCGCGTGAATGTGAAACGCGATTCCCCTTTGACTGACCCGCCCTTTTGCTTCTTCCTCCCCTGCTGCAGGTCTCCCTCAGCAACAGCATGCTGGACGTCTATGGGGGTGAACAAGGTATGAACCCCCCTAATGGTGGAATGAGTCCCACATCTAACACCACAAAGCTCACTGTTAAAAGGGAATTTACAGGTATGGACTCAAACCACGGGACTGAGTCGCTTAGAGCGAGATGAGGGGAAGAAAAAAAAACAAAAGCATAAGAAACGACGAAGATTCTTTGAAACCTTTGGCAGAAGGACGGATTGTAATTTGCATTTTGCAAGGCCACCTGTGGTAGCTAAAATAATAATAATAAAAAAAAAATTCTGGCAAATCTTTAGTCCTAAAATTAATTGCAATGTGTCGGGTTTATTTCCGTCAGGTACTTAAACTTGTGCATTACCTGAATAACTACTCTTGCTTTTTAATCACTATTCAAAAGAAGGACCAACTCAAACAGAGGAGCCTTTGAAAATGTTATATTAATCTCAAGCATAAAGCTTAAGAAAAAAAAAGCCTAATTGATGTAGAAAATAGAAAAGATGCCAGGAGAGTGCTTCACTCTGAACGGGAAAAATAAGTAAATTAGAATCCGCTTCATTTGAACGCGGGCACAGAGGACAATGGGATGTTACACAGACGCTAAATTGACTTGATTGAATCAACAGAGACAAATTGAGAAATCCAATCTCAGGTTCCTAATTATGTAATTTGGAAGAATGTGAACACAAATATGGACCCCACCGCATTTGTTTCGTCTCTCTCCGGGACAGATTATGGAATTGGCTAAACTATCTTAATTGCGAAATGAGTACTCTAAAAGTGGTCACAATTATTTTTTTTTTCTTTTACAATGAGCTTCACTGCATGCCAAGGGGGATGAATGGGGCCTTGTGTGTGTGTGTGTGGGTGTGTGTGTGTAAGAAGGTCAAATATATGTCTGCAGAAGAGGCTATAGCTCCCCATTCTGACCTCAGCACTGAACTTCCTCAGAATAAACTGATTGTTTGACTTTATGACTGGACCTTTTATAGAGATTTTTTGATTGTTGTCTTTCAGCTTCTAAATTAGTGTGCATTGACAATCCATTTGTTCCCCTTCTGTGATTTAATTTTTTTCTTTTTTTTTTTGACAGAGCATGACACGCGGGTTATGGCCAAAGAGAGACAGAAAAAGGACAACCATAATTTGAGTAAGTGTCTTTGGCTTTTTCCTTTTTATCCGACTTCAGTTGGTAATTTTTCTAACCCAGCTGGTATCAAACTCTGAATTTTTTAAAGTTTTACTATCTTGGAAGCAATGTTGCAGTGTGATTATTGTGTGTGTTGCCATGTTATGTCAAGAAACCAAAAGGGAAAAAAAAACAAAACAGCAACATTCTGGTCCAGTGGCATCCTGCTTTTGGTCTAAGGGTGTGTACGCATTTCCTGTTTCATTTTTACTCAGACATGGATGTTTCCATGTTAGAAGTTGGACAAACTGAAAGAAGTGTTCCTGAAAGTTGGGATTTTGACTAGAAGAGTTGGGGCTTTCTTACCAACTGCAACTTTAGAAACCGCCACGTCTACCTTACCTATGTAATTCAGTTGTTGGTAAAGTCAACAGTCATTACAGTTCAAACTAAATACTGATACGTCATGTACTTTTGCATTGTCATTTTATGACCACAAACAGGATTTTATGTGACAGATCGAGATGTAGTGGAAAATTGACAGATGTTTTATGAAATCTGGAATGACTAACTGCCTTCAGATATCACTGAAACTAATTACAATGAAATGTCAACTCTGGTTGCAATGTACAAAAAGACACTGACTATTTAGTTTTAAATGTAATATAGAAATAGAATCATATCGATCGGCAATGCACTCCTAGTTAACACAACTCCACATAGAAGTTGGACTTTTGAGTATAAGAGTTGAGAGTTTTGCACAAACTTCAGCTTCCCAATCCAACATGGCTTCCTTTCACATAAAGCTTTACGATAACTACACATACAGTTAATTGTTTTAGCACATCTGAACAGTTGTACATTGTTGTGTTTTGAAAAGGTTTTCCAATTCCTGCAAAAGTTTCACATTTTGTCACATTACAACCATGACTTTCTTTACATTTTGTTAGAAATTTAGACCAACACAAAGTATTAAAAAGCTGTAACGCTGTCATATTCAGCAAACCGCACAGTTGGAGAAATCGTGGGTCTAATCAACTCTGCTCTTTTTGATTTACTTAGTTGAAAGAAGGCGAAGATACAACATTAACTACAGGATTAAGGAGCTGGGGACGCTCATTCCAAAGTCAAATGACCCGTAAGTAAACAACACCCTTTGCAGCTCCTGTTTGCTGCAAAAACTGAACGTCGAAGTGTTTAACTCAAAGCAGAGACATGATGAGATGAGTCCCTCAAGTACCTTTGAGTCGTCTTTCAAGGGCGCACTCAAACTTCTGTGTCGTCTCTGCACTTTGAGATGTACAACCCGCTCCCCTCTTTCTCTAAGTAGCTCCTGGCTGTTTTGTCTTAAAACTCGAGCGATGGGAAAGAGGGTTAAATGTAAAGACCCTTTCACGTCATTCGAATCAAAGTCTGGAGCTCAATTTGAACATACAGATGAAGCACGGCACACCGGCCATCTATTTGCAGTTGAACTTTTGCTTCAAATATAAATGGGAGGTTAGTATTGTCACCATGCCATTAACAAAGGGATAAAGGAGATTATTAACGCCGATCAGACCGGCGACTCAGTCGTGTGCAGAAGGACAATTTTACTGAGGTCCCTTGTCCTTTTTAAAAAAGTAATAATACCTGCAAAAGAATGACTTGCACTCTAGCACCTTAAGTCCAATGTTCCATTTTCCTCCTTGGCTTCCTACTTAGCTCATTTTCCCTCACCTATTTTTACTCGAGGATTAATTTTACTGAACAAGGAGGTACAAGAATGGACTTTCCACAGAGCTTCTTAACTATTCTATTAAAAATCCCCATTCCATGTCCTCGTGTAATGTCCAAGGATGAATAATTGCTCCATGTAAGTCTCCATTTCTAATTCACATCATAAAAAAGGAAGGGGGGGGGGAAAACCTTTTAAAAAGTTTTCCCCATTTTTTTAATTTTTTTATTTTTTTTGCAAAAGGTATTCTGCTGACATCAGAGGTTTCTGCATGAAAACTTATCCTTTACTTTTAGTTTTTTTTTTTTTTGTTCGTTTTGTAGTGACATGCGGTGGAACAAAGGCACCATCCTGAAGGCCTCGGTGGAGTACATAAGGTGGCTACAGAAGGAGCAGCAGCATGCTCGGGAACTCGAAAGCCGTCAAAAGAAGCTGGAGCAAGCCAACAGGAGGCTGCTGCTGAGGATCCAGGTAATAAAAATCAAGAAGTCGTGGTGCGTTTAGGGGACTGGTGTCCAATTAGAGCCCTCAAGAACCTCTGTGCTGCATATTTTAGATATTTTCCTGATGATAATACCAAAATTGTACAACTAGGCGACAGTCTTAGGTTGTAGGTGCATCATTTGAATTCACCATTTTGGAAAAGGGACACATCTAAAAATTGAAGGACACTTAAAGACAGTAATTGGAAACCCATAGTTTTTTTTGGGGGGGTGTGGGCTGTAAGTTGTAAGTTTCTTCCAATGACATAAGGAGCACAGAATTTTGAAATTATCCTAAAAATATGAATAGCAAATAAAACAATGTTTGCACCAATAAGACAATGCCCAAAAGTGCAAGAATGTTATAAAATGACACAGACAAGAGATAAGTGCTCATAGCTTTCCTACCCTTGATCAGTATGTGAAAGGGGAGGTAATGAAGGTGTGGCTGGAATTTCTCAGTACTACTCCCTTCTAGCCGTTGATGAATGTGGTCAGGAGAGATTTAACGTTAACCGTGTTTGATGTCATTTATTTTCCAGGAGCTTGAAATCCAGGCACGAGCACATGGACTCCCGAATATGGCTACTGCCTTGGGGACGGTTGAACTGTCCTCCCACCTGCTCAAACAGCAGCAGCAGCAGCAATCCCCACCGCAGGTACAGCAACAGCAGCCACAACAGCCACCGATCTACCAGGAGGACCCCAACGGCGACTACCTCCAGAGGATAGCCGTGGTGACGGGCGTCCCGTCCATTGCCACGGCGAGCGGCCCGCAGGACCACATCCAGGGCGCCGACGCCTGCACCACCTTCTCCGACCCGCTCTCCCACTTCACAGACTTCTTCACCGCCACGCTCAAGGAGGAGAACCAGCTGGACGAGATCCTGATGGACGACCCACTCTCGCCGTTCGGCGCCGATCCGCTCCTGTCCGCCGGATCCCCAGGGGCTGCTTCGAAGGACAGCAGCCGAAGGAGTAGCTTCAGCTCCGCTGAGGCCGACGACCTATAAGGGCCCTTCCTCTTTGGTATAGCCCAATGACTGCACAGGTTGAACTTCTCCTGGTAACGGGGGGGAAGGCCCTGAAAGACTGACTGACGGATTTCAGGATTCAAATCTACGTCGGACAACTGCTGAGGCTCAAGTAACTTAAATATCAGCTGACAAACTAAGCAAAACCCATCAAAGTGCCACCTGTTTAGAAATTCCTCGACTGTTGCAGATGCTGACATTGTACGCTACTCGGAAGCAAATGTCACGTCCAACGAAACAACTACTTTTAACTTTATTTTAGGTAACCACTGTGTTTCTCTGCTTTGTACAGAGGATACAAACAGACTTGTGTTAAAAAGGGAGACATTTGCGAGTAGAAATGTTAACTACTACTGGCTTGTTTTTTTTTTGTTTTTTTTTAACGTCAGACACTGGTGGCTACACACTGTAACATATGCAAAATAATTACTGAACATTTGCCTGAAGTGTACTTTTTTCTACCAGTTTACAAAAGGATCCTAGTCCTAGTTGCTTTTGCTGAGGAAGGCCTTATACGAACTCCTTGAACATGTAACTAATGTACTCACCTCAGTGCTTAACATGTACTTGGTTTTGTCTGTCTTTTTTTTACATGTTTGTTACATTTTTTTGTATTTATATATGTTTTAATCCATGTATTCATATAAAAGATATATATATATATATATATACATACATATACAATACTCAAAAATAACTTTTTCTTATTCGCAGAAGTACGGGAAAAGTCCGTAATAAACCCCTCTTGAGCGAGAAGTTTCGTGGTGGAAGGTGAAGGGCTTGCTTACAAGGTGGTTGATTGGGAATGAGAGATGAAAAGGAGGAGAGAGAGGAGGGAAATTAGATAATAAAGACGAGTAGAGAAGGAGTGATAATTCTGATGAGTCTACTGTGAGTTGATGAGCCCTTGAGAATGAATAACGGTGTCAGATAAGGAGCTAGTATGAGAGCTATTAGCAGGCAACTAAGAAAGTTTCCTTTGATGCAAGTAAGATGACGAGATTAGTCCAGATTTTCTAAGACGAGAATGGCAAAAATATAGGCTTTCCTATGCTTTTTCTTTTAATATCCAAGTCAATATTAAACTATTACTACAATATTGGATCAGGAATCAGGATTGATGGATGTATCGGGAAAGAGAATAAAGTGTGAAAACACAATTTTCTTACTTATATCAAATTCAACACTTTTCCAGAGTGCATAAGAACATTGTAAAAAAAAGAAAACATCTTTAGACTTAATAAGGCTTGCTTGTAGCAGGAATACAATTCTAACATTTTGAAACTGAAAACCTCCCGTCTTTTTTTTTTTTTTTTTTAACCCCACGCCCATGCAAACTACGAAGTCTTAAAAAAAAACATGCCCATACTTCCTTAATGGATTTCTCATCAAAGACTCTCTGAATTAATGTTGCAGAGTGTTATTAGAGCACGTTTCTCTGAGAAATCGAAACATCCACTCGCTCGGATCCCCCCCCCCTCTTGAGCTGCAAATAAGACTAAACCGATCAATCATCGTGGAGCACAGGCAGCCCGAGTACAAAGTAGTGAGTGATGTTTACAGGTAATTGGCTAAAGCAGTTATGGAAGGTTAACATTGATTTTCATTATGCCGTGTGTCCGAGATAGACTCTGCAAGACCGACAGAGCAATTCAAAAGGATTATATTAAATTTTAATTTTCTGTTACTTTTTTTTTTAGTTTGGTACACCATTCCAAATAATACTGAAAGAAAAGATATTATGATAAACTATAACCTTGACAAAAATGTTAAAATGTAACAGCATAAGGGTAAAAGTTAAAGTAATTATTTGAAATAACCCATAATGTTCTGTAATCACATTAAACGGTGTTGCAATTACAAGAACATTTTTTCAATAATCGTTTAGAAGCAACTCAATTTTCACACATTTTTATTGTGGCCAAGTAATAGTGTAACACTTAAACAAGTCAGAAGATTAAAAAAACATGACTGTGCTTGATATGATAGAGATCTAAAGCACAGGACAGTCACTGTGGAAAATTAATTTCTATAAAAAAAAATTATGTTTTGCTGATTATTATTCAGAGTTAGGAATTGGATTAACTCAAGGCTTTTTAATATGTTTCTAACGTCACTCACAGACAGTGATGTTTCTTAACTGCATTGAAACAACATGAACGGAACCTATAAGTCAGGAGAACATGTGACACGCATTTGGAAAAAAAAATCAAAACCTCTTTCATACTTCCTTTGCTTGCTTACCTAATCTCATTCATAAGAAGCAGACGGGCTTATTACACTGTCTGCCAGAAACGACAAAGTTGTAAAATAATCTTTCCACATCTCTTTGTATAAGTGTTGCATGCAGGAATAAGGTTTCCCTAATAAAATATGACCTCACTCCTAGTAGAAAGTGCAAAAAAAAGAAGAGGAAAAACTGTTGCTGTGTCAGGCTTCAAGCACCAGGTGGCAGTAATAGGCTGTGCTTCATCTCTACAGTGTATTGCACTAAAATTAACCCAAAGCAGGACTGTGTGAAGGATTCCTCTTTAAGGTAGCCACTAAAATCGAGTTTCTTTGAGTGAGACGCAATGCCGTGTTGGTAAATAGAGCCCTTCCCAGATGGCACTGCGCCCTGGCAGTAGTTTACGAGCTAAAGTTCATGGCACTATACCTCCCAGTATAAACTGACAAATCTAAAGAAGGCAAGTGATGTCGTGAACCTCACAGCAGAGTCGTTCTGTCACCAAAACAACGTTGTCAGACCTCCTGCCACCCACCAACAATGACACCGGCACTGAGTGGGGAGAAACTGTCACCTGTGCAGATGCCACGGCTGCCAGCGTGCTACAATGCACTCACCTGTCGAGCCTGCCATTGGCAACTCTTAATCACCTCCTGCTGAGGTGAAACACACACACTCGCACGCACGCATACACACACATTGACGCACGAGCGCATGGTGCCCCTGCAATTCCCGAACACAAACAAGCCTAATCAAATGCTCTTGTGTGCAAACACAAAAGTGCACATGCAAGCAGAATCTGCAGATGCTCGCATGCGCGCACGCACAAATGCATGCACACGGTTTGTGTGTGTGTGTGTGTGTGTGTGTCTCATTGCACTTCATTGCCACATATACGAGGATGAGCGGTGGGGGAATATATATATATATAAAAAAAATACCCACCTAAAAGCCCTTATCAGGATCTGGACTGTGACAAGACTTGTGCACAAATTAGGTGAAATTTGAGTGGGAATAACAATATGACAGCCAGCAGAGAGGCACCAAACATCAAGTGTCATTTCTATTTTCAGCTGTGACTCAGAGCTGTGTGACAAACAACACCATGCTGCTTCTCAATCAGTCAGCCCGTCTGCTGGAAATGTGGCAAACTAGGCCCGGGATGAGCTTTCCCTTCAGGAAAAATAAGAAACGATCTGAAGCCGTGGTCAAAGTTAAAGGTGAAGTTATAAAACTTCGCCAAAGTCAGAGGGATTCCATTTAACGCTTGGGGAACTTATCAATATTTTCTCTGCCGGTGCGCTGTGGTAATCCTTTCCATGGTTCTTCGGGGGGCCCCATTGCTGCTTTTACTGGGGACCACACCCTGACCGGTTCTGAAAAATACTCCCACGTCACTCAGCCGAGAGCAAGGCCCCTGCGTGCGTTGCCGTCGGAGCGCGGGAGAAACAAAGAGGGACGCTATAAAATTAATGCCATTTCCAGGGTTTTTATGAATCGAGCCAGATGCCAAAGACATAACTTCAAACAAATTGACTTCCAATTACTTGGTGCCGCACACCACTTCCAGATGTGCAACAGATGGGAAGCTGGAGGCGACCGAAAGGTGTCTCAGTCCGCGCTTTGTGTTATTTTGCAGTAAAACAGCAGTACGGTTGTGTGTGTTTTAAATCAGAGTGGGCTGTGGGCTGGAGGTGAAGGGAAGGACAAGGGGACGGTAGAGGGAAAAAGAACAAAAAAAAAACTGAAAGCACTTCATTAGGAAAATGTAAATTCACTCTGCATAGACAGCGAAAGCCATATGTAGTTTTAATACAGCTTGATATCATGTAAAAGGCAAGATGAGATGCTGGGCCTGAAAGCTGGAGTCATATAAAGGATGTGAATGCTAATGCGATCTCTGCTGTATCTCCCAGAGTTGGGATTAATAGGGGGAAAAAGAAAAAAAATGGAACAATTATGGGTCTTGCTTTTTTGTTAACATGTGTTAATGGTGCATAGTATCCTTGCAAGAAGAAAGAACATTAGATGTGATTTGAAGATCTCCTTGATGCTCGACGCGCTCTAACAAAAGTCTCCTCTCGGAAACTTTAAATTCTTTGATTAGTTGCCGTTAAAGCTACATAAAAGTAAAACAAATGTGATTCAGAGGAGCCGAGCGCAGACTTCTTTTTCACTGCGGGGCAAACTAATAGAATATCCAACAGCGGTACGGTGTCCTGGGAGGGTCACGGCTCTGATCCCATTATTACCACAGACTTGGGTCCTTGGGGAGGTAAAGGCGGGTGTGTATTTTTTTTTCTTTCCCAGAGCCTATATGGTGGAAGCTGCCGGGCCCCTATCCACTCCACTAGCAGCCTGCTTGAGCACCACAGGTCCGTCCCCTCTGATCTGCAGGGGCCAAGGAAACAAGGTCTCCTCGCTCCTCTTCCTCGCTTTTCTATTTTTCTCTTTTCACTCCCTCCATCTCATTCTGCCTATTCAAATGCAGCAGGGAGCAGCAGGCGCTTTGCTTGGCTATCTTACCTCTTGTGCTGCCAATAATTCCCTTGCTACGTCAGGGTTGTATGCTAATTGAACCGGCGACCCAACTGTCCCCACCCTTAACCCCCACCACCACCACCGCCGGCGCCACCTCTTTAGCACCACTTTAACCTTGTGTAATTTGGGTAACCTTGGAGCAAAGAGGATGCTGCTAGGAAAAAGATAACAAAAAAGGTGCTCAAGTAATTCTGCTGGATTTTAAATATCCAGCAGAATTATTTCCTTATTTTGTCACATTAAAATCATGAACTTTGATTTTTTTATTTTTGATGATTAATGTGAAGGACCAACAAAAAAATACTCAAAAATTGAATGAAATTTTTCTTTTTTCTTTTCCTCATAATAAAAATCTTATATTTAAGCTCCGCTAAGTCTGTTGGAACATGTCTCTACCAGCTTTGCACACGTAGGGAGAGTTATTTCTTTACTAAATACATCAAGCTCAGTCAGGACAGAAAGCGTCTAAAACGGCAATTTTCAACCTCTCTGTCTGATTTAGGCCTAGACTTTGACTGGACCATTTCAACACATGACTATGCTTTGATCTAAACCGCTCCGTTGCATCTCTGGCTGGACTCTGCTCCCATTCGCATTCCCATCAACCCCTGCTAAACAAAAGCATGACGCCACCTCCACCATGTCCTTCACATAATACCCAAAAACAACATATTAAAGTTTTTGCCTGTAGTGGGATGAAATCTGGAAAACTTTAAGTGTTTTTTTTTTCTTTCCCAGGAAGTCCTTCTGCCACCTCTTCAACACAAAATGAAACCAGACAAAAAAAAAACCTCAATCGGCGTACAACGTGTGGGTGGCACGGCTTTCATCTTTGCCTTCCCATTTCCTCGTGTTGTGCAGATTCGCGTGGCAGCGCAGGAGCAGCTGGGTAAATGTCAGAATACGGCGTTAGAAGGGGTGGGGAGAGCATCAAGACGATCATCGTTAGCAGAGGGAGATAATTGGTGTCGCGTTTTTAGGTGCTCTGATGGGCATCTCGTCTGCATTATTCATTCACCTTCCCTCTCTTTCACCTACTCTCTCTTCCCTGCTCCCCTCCTCATCTCGATGGGGCCTTAGGAGCTGGACTCATCTATTATAGATGGGTAATTGTTTATTAAATGCAGGCCTGACCCTATTAGGCCTATTACCCGTGTGCGGCGCGCCAGTGTGCCTGGCAAGTGTCTGTCTTTTTCCATATTCCGGGAGATCTGACAATCCCCTGTCGAGGAAGTGAGGCCGCTCTGGCATGAGGAAGTGTCAGCGAGGGTGAGAATGGAGCAAAGATAAGGTAAAGGAATTGACGGAGACAGGGAAAGGAGGAGGAAGAAGCAGGCGGCGAGGGGAGACGATGATTATAATAAAATAAAAAGTCAAAGCTTGTGTGGCTGCTACTGGCCAGAGAAGTTATCTCCTTCTCCTCCAAGGCTCGGTGGAAGGAGGCAAAGACAAAGGGGGCGAGCTAAAGAGACGCTTTGCCTCTCATTACACCGACTCCTAATCTACCTCTGCCCTATCCCCGGCAATCCCCGCTGCAGGCGTTTGGAGGCTAAAGCTTCAAACCAGGCAGTTTGTCCAAAGCGGATTCATTACCTTAAATAGGACTACCAATGAGACTGTGTGAAATGTCAGGTTTTTTCCCCCCACCAACAAAAATACTGACACCAGAGGTCAGTATTGTCACAGATTTCACCAAACAACAGTGGACTCAGACGCAGACCCGCACAAAAGAGAGTTGCAAAAATAACTCGGGGTAATAGCAGTGAATTGAAATGAAATGATTAAGTTTGGCTAATTACTCGGCAGCTTAGGCAAATCAGTTTAAGTTATATCAAAGTCGCCGTTTCCGCTGCAGCCGTTTGCCCAGACGACGTGTGGCCAACACGTCTATGCAAAGCGGGATCAGGATAATGGAATAT